CGTCATGCGGTTTGGAGAGGGGGGGGGGGGGTAAATGTATTAGGATATGCTACTAGAGGGCGGTAAGTTGAAGAAGTGAGTGAGTGTGTGTGTGTGGGGGGGGGGTGTTAGCAAATGTGACGTAACAGGATGTTTTGAATTTCTTTTTACAAAATAAGGTTATTGGTGGGGGGGGGGGGGTGGAGGTCGTAAGACGAAGTTGTTTCAAATTTTAAATGGGAAGCGTGTATGGGAAGTGTGTGTGTGTGTGGATGGGGGGGGGGAGTTGCCTTGTATCGTTTCAAGATATGGGGGGGGGGGGGGAAGGGGTAAAATTCGACCAAAATATAATAATGATGATCTTTTATACACATTTTCTCATCAGTTTCTCATCAAGGTAGGTAGTTTCATATGTTTTAATAAAGGAAAGTCTGTAGTTCATAAAAAAAACCAAACGTTTTAAAACGTTAAAGTGACTCGTCAGGACATTCAGGATTCGATTCTCTGAAGTCATAGGTCAATAGTATCCCACCAGTCAGGTATTAACAGAACTAGGTGCTTACATGGTACGGACTGTTCCACCTCATCTAACTCGAGGTAACAAAACTCATACCGCCATCTTTACCAGTGTTTCTTCCAGGGGGGGGGGGGGCATAATACAGGGTCCACACTCTCCCCCTCCCCGGAAATTTAAATTTTAGTCCGCCCCCCCCCTCCTCCGAAAATTTCAAGTGCCCCCCCCCCCCCCCCCCCCCGGAGAAAAAAAAGTTAAAAAGTTTGAAAGAAATATTGATCATTACAATCACCACAATCATCACAATAATTGTTAATACATTCTTGAGTATGTTTGACAAACTTTTTGAAGTCTATTTCTATAACCATTCTTTTTCTTAATTCCGTTGTGTAGATTCTAGTCTTATAACTACTTAGATTCAACTTCTTATCATGCGATTTCCTTAAATAATCGCAATCCCAGTATGGAAATTGCGCTAAAAAGTTGAGTATTGCATTTTCGATGACAATTAGTGAATATCTTTTTTTCATCTAATTAGATAATTGATTAGTCTTTAAAATTAATTATAGAATAGTAGATCTATATTCAACGAGAAAATTAGAGAAAATTCAATTTATCCAAAAGTTTGCAACCGCGAAGGCTTATAAACATGTTTTATTTTAGTTATTTTGTTTTACAATCAATATACATAGATCTATACACTTTTAAAATTTAAATACATTAATTGTATTTAAAGTTTCTTTTAGCCCTTATATATTTAAAGCAGTAATTTAATTGTCCTGTTATGATTTTAATAGTGCAAGTTTAATGTATTGTGGATCTATAGGCTAACGGTTTCAATAGTAGAACAAAAAACAAAAACATACTTTCTATTATTTCCCAAACAATCACTCTTTGTTGACCGTAAATGACCCAACAATAACAGACGCCGCATGACCCCGAACGCGGTGAACCTTCAATGCGATCAATGTGTGACGTCACATGACGTCAGCCGGAGTTCCCCAGAGCAATAGCCTTCAACTACTTCCGGGTTGGGTTTTATCTTGTGCTAAACGACTTCATCGGTGCGGTGTGTGGGCAGCTACATTCTTAACGCCTTTCATAAATCTGAAACAGGCAAGTATTTTAAACTTATTCAGATTAAAATTTATGACGTGACGATTTATTTAAGTTTTGTATTCTCGTTTAGATCAGTTGTCGAAAAAAATGAGACGAAGAACAAGTTTGAAATCTAAAATAGTCGAGAATCACCAGTGCCCCACGAACACAAATAAAGCACGGCACGGCGCTGTGTGCGATACCGGAAAGTAGGTCGTGTGTTCTTCTCGCTCGCTAGGCGTTGGATATAAACATCGAAAATAAGTTTCGCGTTTGTTTTAATTTCACTAGGCCAATGTGGAAATGTAGATGGTAATAAATATTTGTACTTGGGCGTGGCCTTCTCAAAATGCTGAAAATAATTTAGAATGTTAATAGATCTAGATCTATTAAATAAACCTAGATCTATGCATTTTATAAATTAAATACTAAATTCTAATAGGTACTCTACTACTATACACTAGTATACACTATAGTATAACTGTCCATAGCTAGTCTAGCTAGATCCACACTAGATCTATGTGATTATAGTAAATATTGACTAGGTACTAGATCTATACTTAGATCTAGATCTATATAGATAAGAGAATAGATAGAGCTCTAGAAATCAATCATATTAATATCTAGATCTAGATGTAGTAGTATTTACTACTAGACGAGACATCTAGATCTAGTTTTTTTTAATAGAATTGAAAAAAAAAGAAATAATATTTTTTTTAGACTTTATATTAGTACAACTAAAATGTAACGATTTAACATTATAAACATAGCTTGAATCAAGATTCTATCATACTAGAACTAGACATACAGATTTTCGACAGGTATCTCGACTAGGCTAATGAATGGTACACACATATTTGTCATTAATATTTGAAATATCATAACTTAGAATCACATTTATTTTGGTTTAGTGTTTGACAAGTAGTTAATTTAATTACATTTTCTGTGGTTAATGTTAATTATTACATTTTTGATACATTGAAAACGATTTATAAAATATACCAGTTTAACCAAATTAAAATTATGCTTATTTGTTATTTCATTGTAGACTCTTGAATTTTTATCCCGATATTTTTAAAATATTTATTTAAATAAAAGTTGAATACATTCAATAGCATACTCAAATCAATGTACAACTATTTTTTAAAGGAATAAAATATACATTTTCATTTATATATTTAGCTGTTTAGGATCGACCTTGGTTTAGTATAATCTAATAAAAACACATCCCTGCGATAGCACTGAGTGTTGAAGATTAATGAAGATCTAACTAGATCTACCTGTGTCCTGTACCTACATGTTGAGTAAAAAGGTCATCTTAGAGTCTTAGACCATTAATTGTTCTTTTGTTTGAAGCAACAGTCACGTTATCGATTTTTGTAAATTTTAAAATTCAAATTTTAATTTGGTAACTGATGCAAAACAATAATTTAATTTTAATAACTCATAATTTTAAATAAGAACAGTGTATGGTGACTGTTAGATTAAATTAAAATTAGCTAGGGTACTGTTTTTGGTACTGCCCGAGTTAAACCTTAGTTAGACTCACGAAAATCGAATTTTTATGTACTTTTTTATATTAGATGTATATGGTTTTAGATAAAAAAATGTTACGGTGAGATCTGTATTTATTTTTTCACTTCCCGTTTTACTGTTCACTTGTTCTTATCGCTATTTTACAGCCAGTCTTGGCCATTGTATATTTTAATCACGATTGCCAGTTTCTGTCGTTATCACTAAATTCCAACTAATAAATAATTAAGCCTGATGTTAATACTAAGTTTAGCTTAACATTTGTTAGCTACTTTTCCTTCAAATGGGGGTGGTTCTCAAATGACCATTGGTCAGCATCAGTATATCGTCAGTCCGACAGGCTGATGTCATTTTTTTTAAAGTTATCAGTTAGTGTTTGTTCGCTAGGGTCAGTGTCGGTGTTTTGGGTTAATTTAAGGTCAAGCCTAAGCTAGGGTTAACCAAGGCCATTGAACTGTTCATATGTTTAAATCTTCGCCTGTTATCCGACAGCTAAAAAATACAACCACCCTTTACAATGATTTACCCTCCCCTACATAAACGCCTACAATCAATCGCCGATAATGGTGTGCCATCGAATTAAACAAAACGTTTTACAGCCCTCGACGGCCGCCATAACTCTGGGGGGTGTCAACAGTCTCGGCCCAACACGTCAGACCCGGGGTTTAACCCCGCGAAACCCGACAGGTACCCGCGCACACTGCGTGCCCGTCTACAAGATACAGCAGCACGCAGGGGGAGGCAACCTTTCACTTATTGCAAGCCGGAAGCAGAGTTACGGCCCGCTGGTCGAGGCCGACTGCTGCTGTTGTGTTTGGTGTGATTGGCATGCGTGGTATTTTTACCCCCACCCCGCACCCCTCTGGTGGGAGGTGTGAGGTGGGGAGAGGTGGCTGGTTTATTTAACTTAACGGTACGTCTGTGGCCCACACCGCATACACAACTAAGGACGGATGACGATGTTGAACTGGCAGAAGGAGGAAGATTTCTGCTCAGTGCCCAGGATTTGAGAGCAGACCTATATCCTTATCCCCGGGGGGTGGAGGGGGGGGGGGGAGGGGGGGGGAAGATATAACTATTAACTTGCTTATTAAATTTCCTTCAGCTATGATTTTCGTTTGGTTTGTCAGTTATATTGAAGTAATGGTATTAACATATGAACCATGATACAAGTTTCGAACCATGACAAATTATCAAAACCTAACAATGGTATGACGATATGAACCATGACAAATTATCAAAACCTAACAATGGTATTACGATATGAACCATGACAAATTATCAAAACCAAACAATGGTATTACGATATGAACCATGACAAATTATCAAAACCTAACAATGGTATTGCGATATGAACCATGACAAATTAACCAAAACCAAACAATGGTATTACAATATGAACCATGACAAGAGTTATGAACCATGACAAATTAACCAAAACTTAACTTAGTATTTTATCACTAGATGTAGACCGTCACATAATGAACGTATTGTCACAACATTTAGGTAGACCATTATTTTAATAATACAACAATGTGACTAGTGTAGGCTACTTGTATTGTGATTTGAACGTTTAGATAAGTAGTGTATGGCTATTAGAAGAATAATACCCATACCATTAGAGAGTTTTTATTTCCTTTTTGCTAGCCTACTGACACAATAGCATGACATGAATTAGCTATTTACTAATTGTTTTCATAACTCGACTCAGATAGTGACCCGTATGTTGGACACACGAGAGCTTAGACAAGAATAACTTGGGATGGTACACTCGGGATAAGCATGGTTGAGATACTTTATTGTGGTGCTGATTCTAAGTATTGCAGAATAACTTGGGATGGTACACTCGGGATAAGCATGGTTGAGATACTTTATTGTGGTGCTGATTCTAAGCATTGCAGAATAACTTGGGATGGTACACTCGGGATAAGCATGGTTGAGATACCGTTATTGTGGTGCTGATTCTAAGTATTGCAGAATAACTTGGGATGGTACACTCGGGATAAGCATGGTTGAGATACTTTATTGTGGTGCTGATTCTATGCATTGCAGAATAACTTGGGATGGTACACTCGGGATAAGCATGGTTGAGATACCTTTATTGTGGTGCTGATTCTAAGTATTGCAGAATAACTTAGGATGGTACACTCGGGATAAGCATGGTTGAGATACCTTTATTGTGGTGCTGATTCTAAGTATTGCAGAATAACTTAGGATGGTACACTCGGGATAAGCATGATTGAGATACTTTATTGTGGTGCTGATTCTAAGTATTGCAGAATAACTTGGGATGGTACACTCGGGATAAGCATGGTTGAGATACTTTATTGAGGTGCTGATTCTAAGTATTGCAGAATAACTTAGGATGGTACACTCGGGATAAGCATGGTTGAGATACCTTTATTGTGGTGCTGATTCTAAGTATTGCAGAATAACTTAGGATGGTACACTCGGGATAAGCATGATTGAGATACTTTATTGTGGTGCTGATTCTAAGTATTGCAGAATAACTTGGGATGGTACACTCGGGATAAGCATGGTTGAGATACTTTATTGTGGTGCTGATTCTAAGTATTGCAGAATAACTTGGGATAGTACACTCGGGATAAGCATGGTTGAGATACCGTTATTGTGGTGCTGATTCTAAGTATTGCAGAATAACTTGGGATGGTACACTCGGGATAAGCATGGTTGAGATACTTTATTGTGGTGCTGATTCTAAGTATTGCAGAATAACTTGGGATGGTACACTCGGGATAAGCATGGTTGAGATACCGTTATTGTGGTGCTGATTCTAAGCATTGCAGAATAACTTGGGATGGTACACTCGGGATAAGCATGGTTGAGATACTTTATTGTGGTGCTGATTCTAAGTATTGCAGAATAACTTGGGATGGTACACTCGGGTTAAGCATGGTTGAGATACCTTTATTGTGGTTTTGATTCTAAGTATTGCAGAATAACTTGGGATGGTACACTCGGGATAAGCATGGTTGAGATACTTTATTGTGGTGCTGATTCTAAGTATTGCAGAATAACTTGGGATGGTACACTCGGGATACGCATGGTTGAGATACTTTATTGTGGTGTTGATTCTAAGTATTGCAGAATAACTTGGGATGGTACACTCGGGATAAGCATGGTTGAGATACTTTATTGTGGTGTTGATTCTAAGTATTGCAGAATAACTTGGGATGGTACACTCGGGATAAGCATGGTTGAGATACCGTTATTGTGGTGCTGATTCTAAGCATTGCAGAATAACTTGGGATGGTACACTCGGGATAAGCATGGTTGAGATACTTTATTGTGGTGCTGATTCTAAGTATTGCAGTGCTTTAACTGTTTCTGTCTGGGGTTGGGTTTTTCAAGGTGTTTAGTGTTTGTATGTTGTTTTTTTTAAATTTTTTTTTGTCGGGGGGGGGGTGGTCAAATGCATGCATATTGTAACTATATAGCCCTGTTACGTTCCCTTTATTTTGCCTGTTATCACACCTCCCCCCCCCCTCTATCGCTGGTCATCTCTTGTCGCCATGGCATGTTTTTATCAAACCAAAAGTTGGGTTCACTAAATGGTCGACTGATCCCAGTAGGGATTCACTCGTGTTTTATACAGCTTGTTTTGACACAGCCCTCACGGATTATGAAATAGGATGATGTGATGAAATCATCTATTGAAATCACAGATTGTAAGCTAGGGCGGGGTACACATTTTTACATTTGACGTCACTGATTGTAAGCTGAAAGGGTGGGGGGGGGGGGTGTAAAAAAATACCACTGAAATCACGGATTGAAAGCTAAGGCGTGGTACAATTTTTTTTTTTCAGTGTAAAGAAAAAAACATTACAATCACGGATTGTAAGCTAGGGCAGAGTACAATTTTTTTTTTTTACCTTTGACGTCACTGATTGTAAGCTAGGGCGGGGGGGGGGGGGGTGTAAAAAAATACCACTGAAATCACGGATTGTAAGCTAGGGCAGGGTACACTTTTTTTGACGTCACTGATTGTAAGCTAGTGCGGTGTAAAAAAAAAAAATTATAACTGAAATCACGAATTGTGAACTAGATGTTGCCATCCACAATTGAAGTCACAGTTGTAATCTGTGCCTATGAGTTTACAATTCTAAGTAAACAATTATTAGAGCCCCATTTCCAGTAAAAACAATATAGTAAATGCTTTTAGTTGATGTATCCAAAGATTATACTATGTAGGCTTATATTATCCATTGTTTAACAAGGGTACCAGTCATGGATAGCTCTAACTTTAACCGTGCTTTATACGTGATAATGCCAGTAACATTTTAAATATAGAAACATGTTTTAGATAGGTTCCAGTTAATATGTAAGTCCTATGATATAAGATTACGACGTTTTCTTAACAATCTATTGTTGTTGTCACGTTTCAGTATGCACTTATAGAAAACAATATCACACGTGCACCTATAAATTAATTACAAATCAAAGTACAAAAATATGTTATAGTCAGTGTTTCTTCCAGACTTTTTTCTACGAGGATGGGGGGGGGGGCACTTGAAATTTTCGGGGAGGGGGGACGGACTAAAATTTCCTGGGGGAGGCGGGCGGACACTGTTAAAAGTAAATATTTTCTATATAAATTCCATTTCGTTCGGTGGGGCGAGGGGGGGGGGGGGGTAGCCTACTATTTGTGAATGGTCAAGTCAGAGCAGTGTTAGTATCTCAGACCCTTGAGTTAGAATAGATCGTTTATTTTCATAATTAACCTGTAAGGTACCCAATTAACATGGGGCGCACTTTTTAAATTAACATGCACGCACATTCTAATCAAATATCTAGTTGCTACGAGTCTAACCAAACGTTTCCATGTACATTTAGATACCCAGACATCAATCCTGTCCTATCACCACTATCACCAACCACGCCCGAACGTATCTTATTCGAGCCCCCCTACCCCCGACACACCTCCCCCCCCCCCCCCCCCCCCCCCCCGGGGTTTATCTCGCAGTGAAGAAATCCAAACTTTCCTAGAAAAAAAAATATTTGCGTCAGCGCCCAATGATTTGGGTCGTCCTTACAGCCGGATCTATGTAGGTCTGTTTGCCGGAAGTTGTCAGTGATTGTTTATCGGGAGGGTAGGTGTGTAAGTGGTGACAGGCTTGTCTACACACAACACAGGCGGCATGTCATAATATGCGCCATGGCAGCACAGGACTAGGGTCTACATTAGGCTCGTCTATTGACGGAGTTACGGGCCCTGTCAGCATGATACTGACGTATCCAAAGAGCTAGCGGCTGGTAGCACAAAAACTAGGTTCTAGCGGATGCTACTTTATTGGTTTATGTAGCACACGATTGTAGGTACAAGGGAATGCTACTTTAGTTGTTTATGTAGCACACGATTGTAGGTTCTAGGGGATGCTACTTTAGTGGTTTATGTAGCACATGATTGTAGGTTCTAGGGGATGCTACTTTAGTGGTTTATATAGCACATGTTTGTAGGTTCTAGGGGATGCTACTTTAGTGGTTTATGTAGCACACGATTGTAGGTTCTAGGGGAAGCTACTTTAGTGGTTTATGTAGCACACGATTGTAGATTCACGGGGATGCTACTTTAGTGGTTTATGTAGCACACGATTGTAGGTTATAGGGGATGCTACTTTATTGGTTTTTGTAGCACACGATTGTAGGTTCTAGGGGATGCTACTTTATTGGTTTTTGTAGCACACGATTGTAGGTTCTAGGGGATGCTACTTTATTGGTTTTTGTAGCACACGATTGTAGGTTCTAGGGGATGCTACTTCATTGGTTTATGTAGCACACGATTGCAGGTAGAATGGGATGCTACTTTAGTGGTTTATTGAGTTACAGATCCTAGTAGCACATGACTTGCTCATCAAGGATGTGCTTAAATTTCAGCTTAATCTCTTTTATTTCCTAGGCAACCTAACTATTTAAAAACACCTCGATTTGAATGTAACGGGAACATTTCCCTAACTATTGAATTACACCTCGATTTGAATGTAACGGGAACATTTCCCTAACTATTGAAATACACCTCGATTTGAATGTAGCGGAAACATTTCCCTAACTATTGAAAAACACCTAGATTTGAATGTAACGGAAACATTTCCCTAACTATTGAAATACACCTCGATTTGAATGTAGCGGAAACATTTCCCTAACCATTGAAAAACACCTAGATTTTAATTAATGTAACGGAATTCTAATAAACTGCAATTAATTGTCAATGCCGAATAGCTGGCAACCTCGCATGCAGGCAATCACCAGATAGGAGGTGTACGATAGCTCAGCAGACTACTAGCCTCGGTGATAAGATTAGACTTGTCTAACAGACAGGCCTCTGGCTCAAATGGACGGGACTTTAAAAAAAATCTATCTGCCACCGTCTTGTAATGCCAGGAATTTTCCGGATATGAGTCAGTGGGCAGAGCGTGTATTGAATAGGGAGGGGGTAACCTGTGTGAAAGCTGTTTGGTGTGCTGTGTCTTCTTCATACCGGTCCGTTCTACCGTGACAATGAAAGAAGATTAAAAAAAAAATCTCGGGTGGGTCCTCTCACTCGTGTTCTATCTTCTGGACGTGACTTTGTCCCACATCTTGTGCTGTGTCTTTTGTCGGCCGTCGTCTTTTGTCGGCCGTCGTCTTTTGTCGGCTGCCGTCTATTCTCGGCCATTCAATGGAAATATTTCTCTAAAGAATTCCTCCCTGCTCCGCTAGTATTCAGCCGTGGTGTGCGTATATTTGTAAGCCGGCCGCAAATTGACTGATTTTACTTGGGCCAAAACTCAGGTACAATATGCGATTCAGTCTTCTATTCCTAAGGATATATATATATATATATATATATATATATATATATATATATATATATATATATATATATAGAGAGAGAGAGAGAGAGAGAGAGAGAGAGCTAGGTAAAAAAATGAATCGGTATCACGTTTTGTGTAGATTGTTTACCAAGTAATTCTACTACAGTTTCCTGACATTAATAACCACAGAAAGCACTTCAAAGAAATTTTCCATCTAAATTCAATTCCTGCTAGCATACATTTCTTGTTAGCAAACAGTTCCTGGTAGCATACAGTTCATGGCAGCATACGGATCATACTAGCATACAGTTGCTAGCAGGATACACCCAATGTTTAGGAGAAGGGATTATCCTCCCCGCTGTTGGGCACCCTCCCACCCATTTCTCTATTAAAAACACCCCCCCCCCAGCCCTGTGTTTTGAGATGCTCGTGAAGACGATGAACCGTATCACGTGACACTATTCCAGCAGCATGACTTATTTTTTTTCAAATGTTTATTTTACTTATCGTCTTGGAAGCGGAAATTTAATACCAAATATTAAAAACATGTTATGATGAAAACAAGAACACCGTTAAAAATATGTGCATCAGCATACTGTAATCATACGCCTATAATACCTGTTTTTTTCACGCTACAAATTTGGGGTAGAGATTTTAAATATTTTACCCGTTCGGACCTGACGGTTATTGAGGCAGATGGAGTAGAGTTCACCTGTTTCGGTGAACTCGACATATACAATTATGTTTTGGTCTGTCCATCCGCCTTAATTGTTGTTATTTCAGTCAGATACGCATCAGAACTGGGTGGACTCTGAGACGTTCCTCAGACTCTTTTCCGGGATCCGAAGTCGAATTATGGAATTATGACAGAACCTATTACTATGTATTACCTTATCGCGTCTCTTGAGATCTGTTAAAGTTGTCATTTAAGGCACTCGTATATTACGGATTTATTTTATCACAAAAAAATCGGTGTTTCTACCATAACTGTCAACTTCCCCCATGAAATTTCACATACATGTGTGTATATGTTTGTGTGTGTTGTAAGTGCATGTGTGTGTGTAAGAGTGTGTTATTTGATGTTTTCTACCTTGTTTACCACGTGACAATGTTTTCTTCCTGTTTTCAGATGTCCCACACTTTCGACCCTACTGCTATGGCAGAACGAGACTGCTAAATGGTGAGTACATCATTGTCTGTTTGACCCCACTCACACAATACGCGTGCTTAGTCTTGTGATCTTTTTATTTTAGTCTTTTTCTGACTGGTTTGACTAATCCAATACAATACATCCGTTTTTTCTTTGTGAGATGTGATTTTAGTCTTTTTCTGAGGTGTAAATAGGCTTACTGATTAGACCAACTTTTTCTCATGGTTGAGCATAATTTTTTTTTGCTACAGGTTGGAATGGTCTATCTGGCTTAAGAACTTTGCTAGAACCGGTAACATCTGTACAACAGAGAGAGGTGGGGAGGGAAGGCGAGAGAGAGCTAGAAAGAGGAGAAATGGGAATGAGAGAGTGCATTGAGAGAAGTTGAGAGAGTGACAGAAAAAGAAAAAAAAATTCCCCGTCTAGTTAAAAAAAAACTCCGCGATAAGTCCAATCACTAAACGAAACAATCAGGACCAACCTAGTGTTGGGTGTTGACTGGTGTCTAAATCTCAAGCCAGTGTTGGGTGTTGACTCGTGTCTAAATCTGCCGAGTTGCAGAACAGCAGGTCTAGCCTAGGTGCAGTGTTGTTACCGCACAGCTCAACTGCTGGAACCCTTGCAGACAATACAAACGTGTACGTCTTCCACCGCCAGTGTTTGTGAAAGTGCGAGATTAATCCGTCAAGATAGGCCGGCTCTCCCCCGGCTGGAGTTATCGCCGTGCCCGGGGGGCGGTGCGGAAAGTGGTTCCAGACCCGCTACCCAACAGTCCCATACAAATAAACAACCCGGGAAATCTTTTATCATTTTTTTTTGTCTTGAATTTTTGTCATGCGGTGGTCTAGTGCTCACTAGCAATACACTTAAAAATAAAATAAGACTTTTTCTTACCCCCTATCCCCAATACCCGACCCCTCAATTTTTTTTCACCTTTCGTATTTTTCCGTGCTGGCTGTCTACGCTCCTGAGCAACAGCCGGACTAGCTCCCCCCTCTCTCGTGGCGTGCCCACACACGCACCACACCAGGCCCGTGTTTAGAAAGTGCTAACTTATATTTTAAACATTCCCCTTCCCTCCTCCCTTTAAACATTTTATATTCCACACCACCACATCCGCTTTTATCTTCGCTCCAATTTTTTTTTCTTCTGATGCCTCGAAGAATTTTCGCCCTGGTCTGTTTTATATTGCCTTAATGTTGCCGTCATCGCTGGGAGAAAAAAATGTCTGTGTATTTCCTGTCGGTGTGAGTCTGCTGTTCCCCAGTGGTGGGTAGGTGATGGTGTGTCCACGTGACTTCCTGTCCACTCGCCTATCGGCCTCGGTGCACGTGCTACTCACTCCAAAGATGAGCGGTGTGATGATTTATACAGATACCATGTAGTTAAAGGTAGAGGCGGCGGGTCGTTGATTAAGCTGCTGACCACACATCAAGACCGTGGGGTTTCTTGTCGGTTTGCCGTACCTTCGTATTCGTACAGCTGGTATCACAGATAACGATACGTGTATCGTGTTTTATACTGGTAGTGTAAATCATCGATTACGATATTTTAACGGTTTGGGTTTGAGTTACGTTTGGGGTTAGAGAAAAACAGATAAGGTTTGTGTGAGGGGTGAGGTTATATTGTGGGGATTAGCGTTGTATTGTTAGGATGAGGGTTACATTGTGAGGATTAGGGTTATATTGTTGTGATAATTGTTATATTGTTAGGATGATGGCTTTATTGTAAGAATTAAGGTTTAACTAAAGTAGTTACCTGAAAACGAGGGTACGGCTATTCAAGCACCGTGCTTGTCTGGCACGAAAAGGCTGAAACAAGGTGGAATGTTAAAACGGGTGAATCTCCTGTTTGTTGTCGTGATAGTTGGACCACTTGACCTAGCATCATCTGCAGGTGTCTGCCGTCTTGGGGGGTCTGGTGGAACTACTGTAGGCAAGTAGGCAAGTTCTGACTCTAGGCAAGTATGCAAGAACAGTAACACGCGACTCTAGGCAAGTAGGCAAGTACAGTAACACGTGACTCTGGGCAAGTAAGCAAGTACAGTAACACGTTCTGACTGTAGGCAAGTACAGTAACACGTTCTGACTGTAGGCAAGTAGGCAAGTACAGTAACACGTGAATCTAGGAAAGTAGGCAAGTGCAGTAACACGTGACTTCTAGGCAAGTAGGCAAGAACAGTAACATGTTCTGACTGTAGGCAAGTACAGTAACACGTGACTATAGGCAATTAGGCAAGAACAGTAGCACGTTCTGACTGTAGGCAAGTAGGCAAGAACAGTACGACGTTCTCTAGGTAGTATGACACAATGTTCCGACTCTAACATAGATGGTAGACCCCACGCCATTCTTTCCCCTTTACCGCAACTCTAGCCTGCCCGCTTACATCACTAATTTTGTGTCAATTTTTTTTTCTGTTAACTAAATATTAAATAATACGCTGCCGTGGGAATAGTTTCAACGTTAACTTAAGTTTGTTGTGGGTTGCGTTCAGCTAAGGAAAATATATTTTAAACATAGTCAATTTTTTAAAGACAAAAATTACCGAGATTTTAGAATGCGTTCAAGTTAAGATAACGTATTAACCGAATTGGGATGTGTTCAAGTAAAAAAAAAAGATCGCCCATGCAAGGGCGTGTTAGAAATAAGAAAAAAATCGCTGTGTTTCCCTTCTATCATGAGAACCACCTGCAAAGAAAATAATAATAATAAATCGTATATCTGAGTTTAAAAACAGAAAAGAAAAATCAAACTACAGACGATTGAGAATACGATTCCTCTCGGCCTTACAGCATAGATAACCTTCGCACCGTCGCCCATACCCTGAGCATCCACACTGGGGGAAATTGTAGGCAAATAAACCTAGCGCGCTGTCCTTTAGCGCCACGGATTCCCATTTAATACCATTTGCTGGAGGCACCCCCCTCCCCCACCCAAACACTCATCTTAAACCCGTGAAGACATTTCAGCTAAAAACCCCTGCAACTCGTCTAGGCTGTATTTGATTTGGCCCCTCTAATCTACTTTATGCACACAAAATTCAGGTTTTTATGCTTTAAAAAAAAATCTCGTAAACTCGAATATCGCCAACCTACATCTGTAATGTATGATCTTCGTGCTTACACTGCCCTGTTTCTCATAAATCTATTACTGCAGGTTTTTTTTTTTAAAAAAAGAAACGAACTGAGCTCGTGTAAGGTTTGTAAGTTGTTGAGTAAGTGGAATCAATGTTGTTGCCTTGATGTCTTGATTGTTTACTGCCTACTTTCCTTCCAGCACTCACAGCGTTTGTTTTTACCGTGTCTGGTGCGGGAGGTGGGGGGGGGGGGAGGCCATGTCTACACCTTCAGCTACAGGGTGGTGCACTCTCCCATGGTCAATATCCACCCTTCAACTTGCTACACTTAACCAGTCGCCCTTCACCCATAGCTTGGGCGGTTTTGAAACATGGGCGTGATGCCTATCAGTACATACTTTAGTTTAGCACCCCTTACTTTTTCCAAGCACTATGTGTCATGTTAAATGTCCTTTGGCCAAGCACCCTGTACTTTTGCCTGTGTCCTGTTGAAATGTCCTTTTTCGTAACACGACGTAACTTTGCCTATCCCTCCTTACTTTTGCCTATCCTCCTTACTTTTGCCTATCCCTCCTTACTTTTGCCTATCCCTCCTTACTTTTGCCTATCCCTCCTTACTATTGCCTATCCCCTTACTTTTGCCTATCCCTCCTTACTTTTGCCTATCCCTCCTTACTATTGCCTATCCCCTTACTTTTGCCTATCCCTCCTTACTTTTGCCTATCCCAACCTGCCATGAGCTAACGGTCCTGACTGCCTGACAATCTCGTGCCTGCTCACCACTAAATGTGTAGGCTACAGGCGCTAAAATTAGTTTCATGTGATTTAACTGATAACACCCTGGCATGCAATTTTTTCTTTCTTATTATTATACACATGCACACATGCACATTAAACACGATGTTATGTTTGTAAGGCCCCATCAAGGCGTGAACTAATTTCTCGGCTTATTCGTTAACTCGAGAAACTACTCACAAAGTGAGAAAAGCTGTTGTTGTATGAGATGAGATGGTATACTGGTGATGTGGATACAAATTGTCTGGGGTATATTTGACCGTTTCCCCGACCCCCGGGAAATAAGCTTAAATTCATACCATGACTGACCTTTAGTTCTCTCTCCTACCGCCCACACAGTTCCTAAAGTTACATCGTGGCTTTTTAAAATATTAATTTCCTTTTTTTTCCTCTACTTTATTCCTTCATTAGAAAAATATATCAGAGTTGTGTGTCTTTGGTGTAATTAATTCCCTCCCTTACATCACAATTTGTCTAATATTTTATCGGCCCTGAGCCAAGTATCTGATTTTATTTAATAGATCTCGTCTCGTTGAAAATTATGTAACTGCTAGCTTAGAAAAAAAAGTAAAGAAAATGTACATCCTATATGTATTGTCATACAATTTTTGAAGGAATCTCTACTATGATGGTCAGACAAAATATTGTTAGACGTAAGAACTGCCTTACATTGTTATCGCCCCTGTTGGATGATTGTATTACGACATGTATGTAACAACAGGGACGGATCTTGCGAGCGGTGCCTCATGCAGTCATACTCCACTCTGTTACTAAGACAAAGCAAGAACACACCATTTATAATTGTTAGTTCATCATCATCTTTTCATGGTCGTGCCCAAGACAAAGGGGGAAGATGAAGTAGAGTTGATCTGTTACAGAGACTTATGAAGCGATAGTGTGGTCAGTACCATGCACAGCCGGCTGTTTTCGCTAACGCGCGTTAGGATTCGCAGTCTAGCTCTATACCGCTAGACCACGCCCAAGTAATTAGTTAACTTTTAGTTTATTCTTTGTTACATTTTCAGTTGGTCTTAAAATTATGCCGTGTCTTGTTGCACAATCGTTACGTGAACACTTTTCGGTTTGTGTTGAACGTAATAATAACTGCTGACTATGATAATAACTGCTGACCAGGATAATAACTGCTGACCACGACAAT